GCCCCACCAGCTTCCCCGGCTGGGTCCCGCTCGGTGGGGAGGACGTCGCGGCGCACGTGCAAAGAGGAGTGGGGGAGTGAGGTGGGGGAGCCCTGGGCTCCCTGCTGTCCGGCTGAAGACCCAGCCAGAAACCCAGGCGACCCCCTTTCCTGCCAAGCATCCTTCCCGAGCCAGCCAAGGACACAGCCGGCGGGACAGCAGCGGAGACGGAAAAGGAAGTCACAGGGCTCTGAAGTCACCTCTCGCACCCAAACACACCAGAGCAGTCTGAGCCACGCTCAGCCAAGGGCAACACGTCTCAATGTCAGACACCGCTGGAGCTGCAGCCCATGCCCCGGCCCCGTGGGACCACGCGCTGCCGGCCCCGACAGGCTCCCAGTGCCCTGCACGTGTCCCACCAGGGCTGCCACCCCACAGCCGGGGAGGAGGAGCCCAGCCTGTGTCTCACAGCACCGACAGGCAGAGCTCTCCCCAGAGCCTGCTGCTGCACAGAGTGTACCTGGCACCCTGCAGAGCTCAGGGCAGGGTCCCCACGCCAAAGAGACTCTGCAAGCAGCTGCCTCAGGCACAGGAAGGGCACCAGCACCTGCCCGTGTCCTGAAGCAGGCTCTGGGACAGAGTTTCTGCCCCTCTGCGGGGGTCCTATCACACAGGACAGGGATGCTGCATCTCTTTGGAAAACCTGGCTTTATTAACACGCTGAGGTCCTACCTGCGCTCCCCGACCCCATGACTCTGCCACAGCATGGGCACCCGCTCCCCTCGTAAAGGAGGCACTGTGCTGCACTCCCCCAGCAGAGACCCAGCCCCCCCAGACGCAGCCAGCTGGGGCCAAGTGAGGACAGCCCACACACCCCAGTGCTGGGGGCTGGTGGGAGCCAGCAGCCCACGGAGGCGCGTGCTCGCTGTGGGCATCCCAGCCCAGTTTGTCAGGCTCCCCAGCAGCTGCCCGAGGGAGAAGAGCTGCAGGGAAGCACACAAGCCCTTGGTGACAAGCCTATTTGGTCCCAGCACGGGGCTGCAGCACGCACAGCTCCCAGTACACGGGCAGCTGTCACCAGGAGGGACGGGGCTGGCCTAAGAGCCAGGGATCACGCCAGCCCTGGGGAGCACAAGGCTCCAGCAGCAGCACCGCTGGGAGAGGTGGCCAGACCAGGATCCGTGTCAGGGCATCCTGCCCTTGCTGCAGCCTCCCAGGTCTCCGCTTCTTTCCTGGGAGCCAAGCAGAAATCATCGATATTGCCGGGGGGCTCCCAGGCCCTGGCCGTGCTGGAGCGGCAACATCCCTTCCTGAGCAGCAGGTAGCCACGAGGTCTGCCCCACTCCCAGCAGGCAGCAAGGGTGAGGGAGCGCTGAGGGACTCCTGGTTCTGGGCTGAACTTTGGCAAGGCAGCGAGCTGGCCACGCAGTCCTGCCAGCTGGCACGGGAGATGCCAGAGCAGACAGGCAGGAGCCGACGGCCCCATGCTTCCCTTGGTGAGTCCTTCCCGGTGGTTTCTGTCCTGCCACCTGACGTCTTTGTTGCGTAGTGTCCTAGGACGGCACGTGCCCTGTCAGCCCTGCTCCTGCAGCTGGCCGCACATCCGTGCCTATCTCCAGCGGGTCTGGTAAATGAGCGGGTAGAAGACATTCAGGAAGAGCGCAACAATTGCGGCCATGGTGGCCAGGACGAAGTATCTGACGCAGCCTTCATCTGGGTGCTGGGGGGTGCCCGGACTCTGCTTCTGGCCACGGGGCCTCCAGGAGTTTCTTGCAGGCCTTTGGGGCGCCTCGAGCTGCAACTCTTGTTCTTCAGCCTCCAGTTCCTCAGCCCCGTGCCCAGCCAGCCCGCCTCCCCATGCAGCACCGTCGCGGTCGCGCCCGCCCCCGCGGTTCTTCAGGGGTCTCCAGTGCGTGGGGTGCAGCCGGGCTCCGGCGGGAGGCTCTGCCGAAGGGAGCGCAGGCAGCAGCCAGGCAAGGTCTTCGTGGGGCCGCAGGGTGGGCAGCCAGATCCTGACAGAGCCGATGCTCTGGCATTGGTGGGTCCAGGTGATGAGGCGGGCAGGCAGCAGCCAATCACAGCCCAGCTTTTGGGATCCCAACAGGATCTTTCAGATGCCAGCCAATCCAGAGTCAGCTGTTGGTGGCAGGAGCAGGAGGCGTGGTCACAGCACAGCCAGTCACAGGTCTGCTTCAGCAGGTGGGGATGCTCTGACAGCCAATCGTAGCCCAACTTCCAGGAGGATTATCCAGCCCTTCACTGTGCCGGTAATCATGCGGGGCAGCCAATCAGGGTGCAGGTCTCCAGAGGGCACCCAATGCCTGGGAGGGTGCGGGTGGTCCGAGGTGCTCGGGGACCCGCTAAGCCCCAGCGGGATCCAGTGCACCCCATTGCTGCAGGTGATCTGGCGCCATGGGGACACCCGATGAACCCCAGCACTGGGGAGGGTCTACAGTGAGCCTCAGTGCTTCCCGGGTTCCTGAAGGCTCCCACCACTGACGTGGGATGATCAGCGCAGCCTTCCTGTTGCCTAAGCCATCCCCAGAGAGTGGGGCTACTCCAGGACACGCAGAGCCCCCCAGGACAGGAACAGCCTGGGCAGGCGGACACCAACACTCTGGACACCCCTTGGCCCCAGAGACAGGCAGCTGCTGTCCCCGGCTGAGAGAGCAGAGCTGGCCTGAGGGCTGTGCAAGCCAGACAGGCCAGACCAGAAGGGCCCCACGGGGCACACGTGTGCCACTGTGCCAGAGATGAGCTGAGCATCGTTCTCAGTCCCTGCGGGGCCACTGGGGTGCTGAGTGCAGAGGGAAGGGCTGCGGGACAGCGATGCAGGGGAGGCTGGCCAGGTGGGTACCGCGCTGTGGCCCAGCCTGGGCCTTCATGTCTGACATTCACGCAAAGATCAGCCCAACCGTTCCCTACCAGTGCATGCCAACAGCACCCTGCCACCGGCTGGGCCCCCCCCCCCCCCCCGGCGGTGCCAACAGCACCCTGCCACCGGCTGGCCCACCCCTCCCTCCTGGGCGGCCCAGCAGCAGAGCTCGCTCTGGCAGGTTTCTCTGCAGCACCCCGCAGAGGCTGCCAGGCCTCCAGCTCAGCGCTGGCATTTGCCTTTTTTGCACCTAGCTTGGCCCCAAGCTGGGCCCCAGCAGAAAGCGTCCCCCACCCTGCCTTGAGAGCGGCTGCGGAGGGCAGGTTCTCACTGCTTCCCGGCACAGCCAGCTCCTACTGCACCGCTCACTCGCTCTGGCAGGTTTCTCTGCAGCACCCCGCAGAGGCTGCCAGGCCTCCAGCTCAGCGCTGGCATTTGCCTTTTTTGCACCTAGCTTGGCCCCAAGCTGGGCCCCAGCAGAAAGCGTCCCCCACCCTGCCTTGAGAGCGGCTGCGGAGGGCAGGTTCTCACTGCTTCCCGGCACAGCCAGCTCCTACTGCACCGCTCACAGCCTTCCTTCGGTGCAGACCCCAGTGAGGCTGGGCCACCTCCTGCCTCCTCCAGTGCCCTCCCACCAGCACTCCCACCCTGATGACAGGAACCAGCTCTCCTGTGGTCCCTCAGGGCAGGGATCGTCCTGAGCTCACAGCGAGAACAAGACAAGACAGGCCTCAATGCCCAGACAGTGCAAGCTCTTCGGTGTTGAAGAGGGGCAGGCATCACACTGCAGCTGCGCCACGCTCCACGGGTGCTGGCAGAGACAGGCCGGCCCTGCACGTGGGCATCTGGGCGCATTTTAAGGCTTTGCGGCTCCAACAATGCCAAAAGTGACACGAGCTCTCACCTGGCTAGCAGCGGCTTCGGCAGAGGGGGTGCGCTCAGCTCTGTGGTCTGGGGGGTGCCCTGGCAGGGGTCTCTCCACAGGAGAGTTCCTCCGGCGGTAGAAGAGGACATACGCGTATCTGGTTACCACCTGGCTCTCGTCCACGGTGGTGACTGTGCTGTCGTCGAAGAGCCGCCAGCCTGAGAGGAGAGAAGGGTTAAGTGAGCAGACAGGCCACGGCTGCAGGAGAGGCAGGGTGGTGAGGCCAGCAGATCCTCACCCACGTCGCTGCGCTGGCTGTTCTTGTCATTGGGCAGGCGGGCGTATGCTGTGTAGTGCCCCCCAATCATGCCTCCGTAGTGATTGATCACAGCGTACAGGTCGTACATGGGCAGCTGCTGCTCACCCTTCCGGCCGATACAGAACTTGCTCAGGTCCAGGCTCCTGGGGAGAGACACGGGGACAGTCGGGGTAGTCGGGATTAGGTAGGGAGAGACAGGACAGCACAGGCAGTGCCAACCTAGGCACTGAGTCCCCCAGGCTCTCACCGGACAGGAAAATCCACCATGTCGTTGATCTTGTCCCTCCAAATAAAGCTGCGGAAGGAGAAGCGCTTGAGCTGGATGATGAGGACGTTGGGCAGGCGCCATAGCATCAGCTGCTTGGAGGCCTCGCGGTGCTGCTTGCACTTGGGGCAGTACCTGGGGGAAGAGTGTGCTCATTACCGGTGTGGGGACAGCCCCAGGTCTCGCAGCCCAGCCCAGCCCAGCCCCAAGGTCCCCCACACGTGGGGCTGGCAGAGGGATGTGGGGGGGCTCAGCCTCCCCTGCCAGTGGCAGGCCAGCACAGCCCTGTGGAGTGCTGGCATTGCTCCCCGCCTCTGTCCCCAGAGCATGGGAAGCCCAGCCCAACGCTCGTGGCCGCCAGAAAAGACAGCATGCAGGCCCAGGCAGCTCCTAGGAAACCCCCACCGCCTTCTGAGCCCACGGGCTGGAACCCACCCCCTACCACCTTCCTCACCACGCTTCCTCTGGGGCCAGGACTTCGGGCTTGGTGAAGAGATTGAGGCACTGCTCCAGGGTGAAGTGGCCAGCCCGAGCTGCTTCGCTCGCTGAACCTGGATCCTCCACACACTCCAGCTCCTTCGACTCCACCAACACAAACTCCTTGAGGCGCTCGTTGTTCTTCCACACCAGGGCAAGGGAGCAGTCATCTGTCAGCTCCAGGGGGGTGTCACCTGCGAAGGGGCACACACCTCACACCTGCCCTGCCGGGCTACACCAGGCCACCTTGCTGGGCTAGGAGCAGTCTTGCCGGTCCCAATACAGCAATAATGCAGTGCTGCCAGGAGGGAACAAGTGACCCTGTGGGGCAACACACACGGCCCGGTTCACCATCCCAGGTTGTCAGAGGCACACAGCCAAGGGGAAAGGCTGGCACAGCCCCTCTCAGCAGCACCTACATAAGCAGCACTGGATGTGGGTGTCCCATTCAGACATGATGTGACCCAGAGATCACAGACCCTGTGTTGACACAGGAGTTTGAACAGAATTGGTCTATTTGCTGAGGAGAGCAGGAACGTTGTGCCCAAGAAGAGCTCCCAAGCAGCAGCTCTGTGCAGCAGAGCCCTGCGCTCCTCTGTGCCAGGTGCAGCTTCCACTGTCCAGCCCGGGGCCACTGTCACACCTGGGTTCACCTTGTGCCATGCAGCCTCTCGCACCCTGGTCAGGCAGATCCACCATCCTGCTAGAGGCTGCGAGGGATGAAGGTGGCACCTTCTGGGACTCTGGGCTCACCTTTATCTTCCAGCTTGTGCTCTCGGTTGGCCGCATCGATCTTGTTGATGTAGAACTGCGTGGCGCGGGCACTCAGCGAGTCTGGAGTGTGCTGGTACCCAGGGATGGCAGCTGTGGACAGGCAGGGACAGATGTGCGGTGGCACTGCCTGTCTGCCCTGCGTAGGGGCCAAGAATTTGCAGTGCCCCCACCCCCACCTCACATGCTACGGCCTTGCTGGGACACAACCACGTGCCCCGTGTCCTTGACTATTTTTAGCAGGCGCCTGCCCCTGGCAAGCTGTGCTCCTCTGCCTGCCTTACCCCTTCACTGCACATTGCTGCCATCCTGAGACGAGTGTCTAGAAACGTGACAGCCAGGCAGCCGAGCGCGAGAGGCTGCTCCCGTGCAGCTGAGTCAGAGCGAGGGAAACGCTGCGCTCACAGCCCTGAGGGGCTCAGCCCGCGCCGGGCTCCGTCCTCCCACAGGACTTGGAAGCTTCTGCCAGCCCTTGCCTTCCCACCCCTCCCACAACACCACAACGCTCCAGCCTCTTTCCTGTTCAGGTCTCTGCTCTGCCCCACGGGCCCTGTCAAGGCAAGGCAGAGGATGGGCAGACAGGCATTTCAGGTGGGGCTGCACTGCCAAAACACAGCTCCCAGGGCCTCATGGCCCCAAGGGTCTCTGGACCAAGCTCACAAGGGGAGAACAGATGCTGTGGTGGAAGGTCACCCCAAGGAAGGAGAATTACTCCTGCTTTGTCTTGGGGCTGCCTGGAGCTCCTGGCACAGACATGGTTAGTACCGCAGCACCTCTTACCTTCTGGCTTGAGAGCTCTCTCATAGGACGGCTCCTTCTCGCAACAGCTGTCACCCTGCGACTCCATGTGCTCAGAGAAGCCCGAATCCAAGCTCAGCAGGGAACTCCTGGCTGCCAGGACCTTGCTCCGGACAGTGCCGGTGTCCCCCAACTCTGGGTGCAGCTCAGGCACAGCTGGCGAGAGCGGGGGCTCCTGCAGGAGGCTGGACGCCCTGTCCCCGTCCCCCAGCTCGGGGGCAGAGGTGGCTGCTGCACAGCTGCTCTTGGCCAGGGGCTCCAGCTTGTCCGGGAGCAGAGGCTGCAGCCCCTGTTCTGGTGACATCCGGCCCAGCTGGAATGGAGGCTGGGACACGCTGGCCCAGGACCCGGGCCAGAAAGGGGCAGC